TGCCAAATTGGTCCCCTGAGGTACTTTCAATGTGGAAGCATGCTCTTCAGCTCTGAGAAAACGTCTTAAGTCATTTTTTTGGATAATTTCTGCCCTGTGTTTTCTTTCCAGAAACAGACACTTCCTGGAGGAGGAGATTGCTTGCCCACTTGGATTGTTCTAATTTCATTGTCTTTTCTGTTCTGTCTCAGTTTTTTGTGCTGCTTTCTAGGGGTTTCCTTAACTTTATATTCCAACCCTTCCCTCTGCTGGGCTTTTTGTTTTGGCCAACGTATTTTTAATTCCCAAGAGCTCTTTTTTGCTCCCTCTGTTGTTTTTAAATAGCATCCTAATCTTTTTCATGGATACAATAACTTCTTTTTGTTTTTCTGAGGCTATAAATGATAGTTTTCTGTTTGTTTGTTTTTTAAGTTTCCTTCTTGCATAGTCTTTCTCTTTCAGGCTTTGGCCTTTGTCTCTCATGACAGGCTTCCCTCGCACGCGGCTGCTGCTTCACATTGCCTGCAGTGACGGGCTGGCATGGGGGCACCGTGTGCTTGGCCCGGCCAGCGTGTGTTCTGTGGGCTTCGCTTTTCAGTGCTCTCGGCCTTCAGTGTCTGAGCATCTTCCCTCCTAGGCTGGTCACTTTCCCTGGATCCCCCCGCTCCAATCCCCTGATCCTTATCTCCTGCCAGCAGGGCCTGGTGACCGGGGGAGGATCCCAGAATCCCAATATTCCTGAGCCTGTGGGGCCTCCGCAGCGTGGCTCAACGTCCAGCTGGTTTTCGATCTGGCGCCCCAGGGTCTGCCAGTGGTTATCACTCGTCCGTTTGCTCTCCACTTCTGAAATCCTGTGGCCACTGTCTCATGCCCTGTTCTCTTTGTCCTTTTTTTTTTTTTTTTTTTTTTGGTAAGGGGATTGCAACCCTTGCCTTGGTGTCGCCCGCACTGCACTCAGCCAGTGAGCGCACCAGCCATCCCTATATAGGATCCGAACCCATGGCGGGAGCGCCGCTGTGCTCCCAGCGCCGCACTCGCCCGAGTGAGCCACGGGGTCAGCCCCTCTTTGTCCTTCTGAGTTTTTGTCTTTTCATCCCCTACTCGCCAGGTACATCTGAGGGCTTGGAGTGTTACGCTTCTCTGTGTAACGGAGATGCAAAACAGTATTACTCAAAAGAACATGATGCAATGGGAAGCCCAAAAGGACTGCACCTCAGGAACTCCTCTGTTAGAAGGAAAAAACTGGGTACAGCCCTGATTCAAAGTTAGCTTCTGTTTTTATTGTAAAGACAAGGAAGTTTCACAAGAAAAATCAGTTGATTCAGTCATTTTAAAAAAGGACACAAAGACATGGGCAGTGTGGCAAAAGTTATCTATGGCTAAGTATACCTTAAACAATGGAAACTAGTAACATCAGTAAAATTAACAATGTGACATCCCAAAGTACAATTTGTGAAAAGCTAAGTTGGTCAAACTGAGATCATTATCTAAAATATAACCTCTCCTCAAATGATTTAAGCAAAAGTTACATTCTTATGATTAAATCTAAGTATAATTGTCTCTAAAGTTTCCACCATAAAACAGCTTGCCCTTAGCAAACATTTTTTCACATTTTTCACTACAGCAATTCTTTAAAATCTCTTAACAGGATTGGTATGAAAACCACCTATTAGCTCTAAAATCATTGAAGTATACAATCCCATACCTAAGCAGTGATTAGAGTTGATTAGATGGGCTGTTGCCACGTTATCTGTGGGCTTTTGCCTCCTGGCTGGAGCCTTTTGCCTCATACATGCATTACCTAAAAAACCTATTCTAAAAATCAAATGAGAATCAACATATATACTTAATTAGAATTGATTAAATGGGCTTTTGCCACACTACGTGCATTACCTAAAAACCCTATTCTAAAAATTAAGTAAAAACCAGGATTTCTAATCCTCTGCATTGGAGTTCAGCATGTGTGTCCAGTCGCCACCTTTCACTCAGTGTCCTGTCCTTTTTCTGTGAATGTTTTTAACTTACGTGAGATAGTACCCTGTATTCTGCTTTTTAAAAACATGATAGTACAATATTTCTGGTGCTTATAAACACTACGAAACATCGTAATGGCTGGTTAACATCCCATCTTACGGTTATACTGTAACTTGCTTAAGTCACCTCATCATTGGCCATCTAGTGCCCCCCGCTTCGTTGGGCTACCGTGAATGATGTGGGAATGAACATCCTGTGCATGACCCGTGTTAGGTGTGTCATTTGTGTCCTTGGAGAGGATGGCTGCCTGGGAGTCAGAAGAGGGGGAAGCCGGAAATCTTTCCCAAGTGGAATCAGAGGGAAGGGAAGAAAGCCTCTCGTAGTGGTTTCCCTTCGCTCAGTTCATTCGGAGGGATGCCCTCACCTGGCTTTACGGGCAGTGCTGGCCGGCAGCGCCCCCTGGTGGCACCCTGCCTCAGGCCAGCTCCTCTGCCCAGCCAGGAATCGCTGAGCATGGGGCATCTTGTCCACAATTGGGAGAAAAACGGCAAAGAGCAGAGAGGAAGAAGTTGGAACTTCAAAAAAAAAAAAAAAAAAAAAAAAAAGAAGAAAAATAGTCCAAGAGAAACCAACCCTGAAGTGAAAGAGACTGAGGGGCAGAGAAGGAAGCTGAGTTGAGGGCAGTCACTCAGCTGGGGCTGCAGGTCTAGACTCTGTCCGCCAGGTGGCATGGCCAAGCTCTTTAGCCTTAGATTCCCACCCATGGACAGGTTTGGGCTTGGGGCTCAGTAGGAGCTGGAACCCAGGGTAAGGTGGCAGTTACACACCTATGTTGCAGGGTTGAGGGACAGTCGGGTGGGCAGAGGGGGTGGTGGCAGGCAGGTGGGCCCCTACTCCTCCTCGCTGCCAGTGCTGCACCTGCCCCATGGGCCTGTAGAGGTACAACCCAGTAACCTCCCAGGGCTGGGATGACCCGGCCTGTTTTGGTGGAGATGAGAGGCACAGATTTTTCCTTTTCAGGGAAAGCAGCAGTGTGGTGGGCTCAGTCCTTTCCCCTCTCTCCAGACACTTCTCTATCTTGTCACATCCAGGTGGACCATGGTTCACACTGTACCTGCCTGGCCATCCTGGGTGCTGACGGCAACTCTGGGCCTGCTGTCCTGCTGCAGTTCTCATGGCCATCCTCTCTTGGTTCCCTCCCATACCCTCCCTCCTCTGTCTCCCCAGGCCACTAGTGCTGCCCCTCTGGCCATCATGGAAGAGGTGGTTCTCCTGTGCCTCACTTACCCACAAGCCCTCTGTGGCTCACACTGCCCACAGCATCTTAGTGTGAGATTGGGGGGCCGGCCATCCAGCCCTGGCCTCCTGTCCCTCTTCTGCCCCCACCCATTTGGTATCAGCCACTTGACCCAGCACATCCCAGAGCGTGTGTGGGCATCCCCCAAAAGTCCTGGGGCTGCTGGGTTTCGGAAAGGTGTGGAATTCTGGAGGCTCGGTAGCACATTAAGAAGGCGCTTTGGGAGGAAGCAGTGTAACTGTGAGCCCAGCTTAGGGCTTCCTAGACACTGCCGGGCACATATGTTGCCTGGTCAGGGACAGGCCTGACCATCTGCATTTCTGACAAGTTCCCAGCAGTGTAGAGGCTGTGGAGTGCAGACCATGCTGGAAGGAGCAAGAGTCTGGCATTCCCAGCATCATGGACCAGGAACTTGTGTTTTGCATTGTGCCACAGTTCTGGGAGCATGTGGCACCCCCTCAGAGAAACCTGGCCCAGCTCAGGTGTGCCCATGTCTGGCCATCTGTCTGCGTCACTTGAGATGGGTCTCAAATCTGGGTTTTAGAACGTGGTCCTATACTTATACATATAGACACATTATGTGTAAAACAGACAAAAGGCTGATAAAACAGTGCTGGCCCTCCCTGTGTGGCATGCAGGCTGATTCCTTCTGTTCCTCATTCCATTTTAGCACATGGTTGGTGGCACCACGGAGGAGACAGGGCTGCAGTTGTCAGCCTCAGGTCCAGGTCACGCACTGTTCCTCAGCCTTGTCTGAATTTCCTGCCCCACAGCGGGGTACATGCAGTTCCTTCTACCAGCGGTGCTATCCCCAGTCCTCCCAGATGCATTTCCTTCCCTCATCCCGGCCCAGGGTGCTCGAAGTCCCTGTAGGAGGTCCTCCTGGTGCTCTGCAGGGACAGGAGCTGCCTCCCCTGGGGAATGCCTGGCATCCCTGTCTGATCCTGTGGGGGCTGCCTACCTCTGTCCAACCCTGTATAGTTGTGATTTGAGGGTCTATCACACCTTCCAGCTGGGGGCTCTCAGACCTCATGTGGGTATTCCTCAAGGTCCTGGCATCCTTGCTGTAGACTCTTGGCTGACTTTGCTGGACAGATCCACCGTGGTCCAGGGCCCTGGAAGCTAGAGGGTCTTGCAGGCTGTGGGGCCTGGCGACAGGGGCTGAGCCTCTGGGGTGAGGTAACCTGGGAATCTGCCCTTCAGATTGTTGGCAATTGCCCCTGGTGCATCAAGGGTGCAGTAAATGCTTGGTTCCTGGTGGCTGATGTTGTCTGTGACAAAACAATCTTTCACATAAAAAAACAGACCTGTAATGCAGTTATTACTGGTCGGTTAGTTCACTTGGTTTGAATGTGATGCTAATAATACCTAGGTCAAGAATTCAGATCCCGGGCCGGCCCGGTGGCGCACTGCTACAGTACACCACTTGGGAGCGTGGTGGTGCTCCCGCCAAGGGTTCGGATCCCACATACAGACCGGCCGCTCACTGGCTGAGCGAGGTGCGGACGCAACACCGAGGGTTGTGATCCCGTTGCTGGTCCCGGTCCGGTACGGGCGTGACACTGAGGGTTGCGATCCGTTGCCAGTCACGAAAAAAAACAAAAAGGAAAAAAAAAGAATTCAGATCCCTATACCAGCCAGTCACAAAAAAAAAAAAAAAAAAAAAAAAAAGGTTAATAATGACAGTTATTGCTGTAAGTTCTATTAGCCCAACAGCAAGTACATTCCTGTTCATGTCTGTCTCCTCCAGATGCTAGACGAGAACCACCACCTGATCCAATGCATCCTGGACTACCAGAGCAAAGGCAAGACGGCCGAGTGCACCCAGTAAGTCAGCCGTGCCCTGGGCCCGGACCCCCAGCACAAGCAGAAGACTGCACTTTTGCCAAATGCTGAGAAAGCTTCCTCGGGGAGGGCGGGGTGGTACAGAGCAGGGTGTGTCCCAGTCCAAGAACTGAGGTTGGATATGGCCCTGAGAGGCACCCAGGGATAGCATCCTTCCCTCCACATCACTCCCGCAGAGAAAGGTGGGCAGCGTTGCCTGTTGGGTGGTGGCAGAGCGAAGGGAGCAGCAGAGTACAAGGAGGGAGGACTGTCAGAGGGCCGAGGCTGGCCACTGCGGTCAGCTCCGTGGCCAGTAGCAGACATGCCAGGGGACAGTGATCTCCTCCTGGTGGAACCTGCACTACCCCCTCAGAGCCTGACACAAAGTAGATATCTACAGGCTGACTTTCATCTTACCTAGAGAAAGGAGGTGTAAGGGCCTCAGAGCCTCCAGGTGTGAGGTATGTGAGGGCCTCAGAGCCTCCAGGTGCGAGGTGTGTGAGGGGCCTCAGACCCCCTGGGTGTTACCTGTGTTAGGGGCTCACCCTAACACAACCAGGTGTGTTTCCATGTGGTAGTGTGCTTTTCTACTTTTTTTTAGGGCTTCTGTTGCTGTGGAGTGGTTAGGCCACTTCCTGGCTAACCAAAGAAGGGCTTATGTCCCTTGGTCTTCCCTTCTCTGTCACCTTCAGGCCCTTGCCTCCTCCCCTCTCCATTCTCTGAACAGACCCAGTGCCACCTTCCTCTGGGCCACCACCTCAGGGTCTTTCTAGCTTTTTTTTTTTTTTTTTTTCCTTTTTGTCTTTTTTCGTGTCCGGCAACGGATCGCAACCCTCAGTGTCACGCCCGTACCGGACCGGGACCAGCAACAGGATCACAACCCTCGGTGTTGCACCCGCACCTCGCTCAGCCAGTGAGCGGGAACCGGTCTGTATGTGGGATCCAAACCCTCGGCGGGAGCGCCGCCACGCTCCCAAGTGGCGCACTGTAGCAGTGCACCACCAGGCCGGCCCCTAGCTTTTTTGTTATAGGATGAGAGCTTGCTGGGCACTTGTGCCCCTTCCCGGACCACAGAGTGCTGCCTCCTGCCTCTGTCTAGCTTTTTTGTTATAGGGTGAGAGCTTGCTGGGCACTTGTGCCCCTTCCCGGACCACAGAGTGCTGCCTCCTGCCTCTGTTGCCAGCTGGCAGCCTGGCCTTGTCTCCAGCCAGATGGTGCTTGGTTGGACATCGAGGCTGTGTTGTTAAACTTAACTTCTGCTTCAGATCGGCCTGGGGGCGCAGAGGTTTTGTCATCCCCATCTCATCGTCTGCCACTCATCTGCAGGTACCAGCAGATCCTGCACCGGAACCTGGTGTACCTGGCCACCATAGCGGACTCCAACCAGAACATGCAGTCCTTGCTCCCTGCTGTGAGTACCCACAAATACGGGGGTGGGGGGGCTCCTGTGCTTACCCAGTGAGGAGTCAGACACTGCCTAAAGTCAGAGTTCAGAGCAGGTCATCTCAAATAGCAAAAGTGACTGATAGAGAAACCAAAAATACCACTAGTGCCATCAGAAACTGGGGGCGTGGGGGATGGTGATCTAATCCTTTCCATAATAAGAAAGCTTCTGAGGTAGATGGGTCAAAATTGTGGCTTTGGCTTCTCTAGCAAAGGGAGGTGGTTCTGGAAGAACCAAAGGGAGGAATGGTGGAAGCATTTGTCCAGGTGGAGAGTGGGGAACAGTGGGATGGGGATTCCTGTTGGTTTCCCTGGTGGCCCTTCTGAATAACCTGAGCAGTTACAAACCGCACGTGCACTGCTGTGATGAAAAAACAGCTGAAAAGAAAAAATGCTCGGGGTAGCATATCCTTCAAATGTTAGTGTAAATATTTTATTTTGTTTGACTTTTTAAAATGCATTTTCCCCAAATTATTACTGTGAAGGCAAGGTCCTATGGCTTGGGCCTCCTCTGTGCTGAGCAGGAAAGCACAGCCCTGAGAAGGCCAGCCCGGAGCTGACCACAGCTAGCAGCAAGGTTCCAGAACAAATGTGTCACCAGCAATGGTGTCCACCTCTTAAAGCCCCTTAGTTCCCATGGAGAGTGGTGACGTTATAAATGCCAGGATGCGTTTTGCAAGTAAAAATGTTAAACCAACCCTGATTGGCCTATCAAATCAGGGTTCTTTACCCTGTAGATATCAGGTCTTGCTGGAATCTTCATTTTTCTTGTCCAAGTATAGATAGCATCTGTGTGCAAACCTTTGGGGCTGCTGTTTAATCTAGATCTGGAGGTTGAGGTGCTGGCAGGTTGCTTGTAAGCAGTCTCCCTGCTGCATCCTGTGATCAGAGGTGGACTTGGGAAGATGGCAGATGGGAGGAGAGTGGGGCACACACAATAGGGGCACAGGAAACAGCAGAGTGAGCCAGCTTGTGCAGAGGCCCTGGGGCACAGAGGGATACGGGCAAGGAGCACAGAGATGCCTGGCCAGCTGAGAATGGGGTGGGCACAACCTTGTGGGTTCCGTGTTATCCCAGGAAAAGTGTACCCAGCTTTTAACATCCAAGTATGTATTGATGAACTTGGTACTCATTTAAGTTCTGAATGTTTCACGGACCACTTGCTGTGTAATCTCCATCTTGGCCTGAAATGTTCAGGCTTGGTAATTGGCAATCAGCCTGCTGAGTGTCACTGTAGCTGTCAATTACAGACATTTACCAGGTGGCCATGAAATGCAGTAGCAAATCTTGTGGGTCCCCTAATCCCTGCAGTGGCTTGTGGCAGTGGTTGTCTGTGAGTTAACTGTCCTCGCTGAAACCTTCCTCTTGCCCGCAGCCACCAACCCAGAACATGAACCTGGGCCCCGGAGCACTGACTCAGAGCAGTTCTAGCCAGGGCCTGCACTCCCAGGGCAGCCTCAGTGATGCCATCAGCACGGGCCTGCCCCCGTCCTCCCTCATGCAGGGCCAGATCGGCAATGGTGAGCAGGTTTTGGGGTGGGTGGGTAGTTCCTGGCTCCAAAGTCACCAAGACAGCTCTTGGGTGACGGGCTGCCACCCCCAGGGCTGGGTGCAGGCAGCCCTTCTCCTGGGGTCCTGGCTGAGGTTGGCTTCTGAAGTGTGCACAGTAGGGTTAATATGCAGAGGGAATAAAACCCTTACTGCAGATCCCCTGCTCTGTCTGATACTCAACTTATGGCCACTTCACATGGAAAATATGGGATTCCATGTGGGTCTTCTTATAAGAATGAAGCGTTGCTGTAAAGACAGAGAACTATTAATAACAGTTGGAAACTCTTAATAACAACATAACGATGTATATACAGTTAATCTGTACTTAGCGTGTATGTTTATTTGTTAACCACTTAATCGTTTGCTTCATTCATAGTGTTATTGACCATGGGTTAGCCTCCCTCCCCAGAATCACTTGAAGGAAACTCGGGGTGATTTCATCTTCACAGGTGGGGACCTGCCCCCCAGCACCTGACACCCCCTCTGCCACTTCTCTCGGCAGGTCCAAACCATGTGGCCATGCAGCAGACAGCACAGAGCACTCTGCCCACCACCTCCATGAGCATGTCAGGCAGTGGCCATGGCTCGGGGCCTGGCTACAGCCACTCAGGACCCACCTCGCAGAGTGTCCCTATGCAGGGGCAAGGCACCATTGGCAACTACGTGTCTCGGACCAACATCAACATGCAGTCCAACCCAGGTACCCCTGTTTCCATGCGACCCCGGGGAGCATGGGCCTGTTACTGAGACCCTTGGAGACATGTGCAGGTTTTATGTGTGGCCCCCGAGGGCCTGCTGTTCTACCGGGTGCTAGAGCAGGGGAGAGGATGAGTCGGTGCTGGCTGCCCTCCCTGGGAGCGTCCAGAGAGGCAGGGCTGGTGACCCACAGCGACTCCAGTCCTGCTGTGAGGGGGCTGGCTGTTGTCACAGAGGCCTGCAGGAGGCTGTGAAGATAGGGTGGCATATCTCTCAGGATAGCTCTGGGCTCACAGAGGCGGCGGTAAAGTCATTCCCATGCAGGGAGCAGCCTGGACAGACATGCAGGCGTGGGGGGGATGGAGGGCCACAGACACCAGGCCTAGGACTAGGACTTTCTCCAGAGCATCGAGCGTCCCTCGAGCTGGCTGCACGTTGGCGGCCACTGGCCACGTGGGTGGTCGCGGAAATGCTTGGGAAGGGGCAGGTCCCAGCTGTGAGGTCCATGAGTGTTAGCTACCTGCCGGATTTCAGAGGCTTACTATGAAAAACAGGGTGGCATAGTAGTTGCTTAATATCTCTTTATAACAGTCACATGTTAGGAATTTACTTTGGCTATATTGACTCAAATAAAATGTAGTATTAAAATTAAGTCCACCTGTTTCTTTTTACTTTCCAATGTGGTTACCCGAAACCTTAAAGTGTAGCTCGTGTCCTATCTCTGTGGGATGGTGCTGCTCTGGGGCTTCTGTAAGGATAGGCTAGTAGGCAGGAAACAGTGACCACCAGCATGAAAGGGCCACAGAGTCACAGAGATGGTCAGCAAGTGACAGTGTGACTCCTAAGACCAGCTTGAGGGACAAGGAGGACCAGGACTTGTGTTCCTGTGGGCGTGGGCTTGGCGCAGGAGCAGCTTGTCTGAGGCAGGGCGGAGAGGTGTTTCCGTGGCTGTGGGGACCCCTGGGTCCTCCTGACCAGCAGTTCCTTCTTCTGTTTCTGAATGTCGGCAAATTTTGAAACAGCTGGTGAAGGGCTGCAGTCTGACCATGCACTAGGGCATCATGTAGGTCATGTCATAGGAGGTGTGACTTGGAACCGAGCGTGGCATTCTCCTGGGGGAATGGTGGGAAAATAACAAGGGACTAGCCTGACAGGAGGTTGTTGGGTTGTGGGGCAGGGGAGGGAGAGCAAGGACCGCCTGCCCTGGAAGCTTCCTTGGGGTGATTGGGTCTCTGTCCTGCCATGCAGTGTCCATGATGCACCAGCAGGCGGCTACATCCCACTATAACTCGGCACAGGGTGGGAGCCAGCACTACCAGGGCCAGTCATCCATCGCCATGATGGGCCAGGGCGGCCAGGGGAACAGCATGATGGGACAGCGGCCCATGGCACCCTACCGGCCCTCCCAGCAAGGTAACACTGCAGGCACCCCAACCCTGGCACTGCGCACGGCTGACTTCAGCCCCTTGTTAAGTGGCAGTCCTTGCACACGTGTCCATGTTGAATGGGGCAGGGCCCATGTTGTACCCAGCGAGGCTGTTGGGGGTCCAGAGCCACTGTGGCGCCCTCTGTTCCCAGAGATGCTGATGGATGGGCGGCTGACTTCAGCCCCTTGTTAAGTGGCAGTCCTTGCACACGTGTCCATGTTGAATGGGGCAGGGCCCATGTTGTACCCAGCAAGGCTGTTGGGGGTCCAGAGCCACTGTGGCGCCCTCTGTTCCCAGAGATGCTGATGGATGGGCCAAGCTTTGGTCTGCTGTCCACGGGGAATCAGAATCAGTCTGCAGGCCTGGTGTTGGGGGCGGGGCTGGCTGGTGGTTGTTATAAGTGCTAAGTCAAGAGTATTTGGGGACTAGGGGTTGGAGGAGGAGAATGAGGACTGATAGTTGAGGTTGTCCTGTCCCCTTGGGTGACCCCATGAGGTGTTCTCGTATGGGCGATGCTACTTGGCGGGGACTTTTCTGTCAGGATAGAAGGTCTCTGCAGTAGCTGTCCTGTGTTGTGTCCCATCACAGGCTCTTCCCAGCAGTACCTGGGCCAGGAGGAGTACTACAGTGAGCAGTACAGCCACAGCCAGGGCGCCTCGGAGCCCATGAGCCAGCAGTACTACCCAGACGGTGAGGACGCGCAGCTGCTGCCTGGGAATGCTCCCGAGGCTGAGCAGCCGAAGGCACAGGAGATCCTGCTGTGAGCAGGTTGTCCCAGCTCTTCCTTGGTGTTCCCAGTTCAGACCTGCAGCCCCTGCAGCCGCTAGCACAGCCTCAGAGACCACCCTCTGCTTGCGCACCTCCAAGGGGGCACATGAGGGCTGGTCTGGTGGCGGTGCCTGGTCTCTGCAGCAAAGCTTCCAGCACATGCCTCGGCAGGCTCCTTGTCTCCCTTTTGTTAAAATCAGTAAGAATTTAAGGCTGGGATGTGCAGCCCCAAGCTAGAGACATATACAAATGTTTTAAAAAGATGGAGCTAGCCTCACCTGGTAGCAAGCCTGTGACTGGTAGCCCTGGCCTCCAGCAGCTCGGTCATGATTACTGGAGATTGTTTTCATGCTGTCACCTTTCAGCCATCTCCAAGGAGGCCCAGGATTTGTGGAGGTGGTATTTAAAGTATTAAGGGATGGGCCCTTCCGGAAGATGAAGGTGGGGCTCCCTGGAGGACATTAACTGGGGTGTGAGGTAGGGATGCATGGCCAGGTTAGGAAATCAGTGGTGGGTAGGTGGCAGAGACCAGCCACAGGTGGTGACACGCAGCAAAGGCCTCACGATGTGTCCCAGATATGCCCAGGAGCCCGGCAGAAACACAAGGCATGCAGCAGTGTTGCTGCTGGGTCACCTAGAAGTCATTGACTGTCGTCGATCCCTTCATAAAACTGTCTCTTAACCTCACAAGAACTGTGTGAAGTAGGAATTGATACATTAGAGTATCAATTTTAGATTAGGAAAGCTGAGGCTCGGAGGTCAGGAGCATGGTCAGTCTGTGAGGACACAGGTCCATGCCCAGCTTCATCTTGTCTCTCCATCCTGGCGCTCAAGTGTCTCCCCCGGGACTTGGGCAGTCACAGGCCTCCGCTGACTGTGGGCCATCTCTGTTTCTTGTAGGGCATGGCGATTATGCTTACCAGCAGTCATCCTACACGGAGCAGAGCTACGACCGGTCATTCGAAGAGTCCACGCAGCACTACTATGAGGGGGGTAAGGCGCGAGGACCACGTGTTGTACTCCAGAGTGTAAGGGCCACACCTGGCAGAGTTAAGACAGCACAGTCAGGAGTGAGCAGTGCCTGCCTTCAGTAATTTCCACCTAAATCACTGTCAGGGAGTAGACACAGACACAGACCAACAGGCGTAGAGCTTTGTGAAATTGTGTTTCCTCTGGAAGCTGGAGAACACAGGCTTGCTGCGGGACCCTCCTTGCCTTGCATGTGTTCGTGAAACAGGAGCGGGTTCAGAGGGCCAAGTCAGAGGGGGGGCAAGCTCCAGCCAGTTCTGGCCTGTGAGCTGCTCTCAGCATCCTCAGTCGGGCTGTCAGTGGTTCCAAACCCAGTCGCATAGTGGGGACCAGGCACCCCAAAAGCCCTCCTGAGTTGGGCAGGTAATGCACATGGGGGGCGTGGCTGCATTGGGTGTGGCCCTGGTATCTCTCCAATCACCTGCTGGCTGGGTAGAGGGCGCCTTTGGCTGGGGGCTCATAGCCTTGTTGGCGTTGCTGGGCAGTGCTGCACTGGAGGCTGCCCATCGATGGAGGCTTTCCTAGCAGAAAGGCCTGGTCTGCAGCACTCGCACATTTCCATGGTGTAAATATGCCCACTCTGGCTGACATGAAGCCACCAATGGAACATCACAGAATGTAGAGTTGGAAGAGACACACACAGTCAGTTCCTGAGCGGGTGTCAGCTGGCCTCAGCCCCCGCAAGGTGAAAGTGGCCCCCAGGGAAGAGTAGGTGATCGACTCACAAGACTTTATGACTTCAGCTGCCTCAAATTCCAGGCTTCCCGGTCTGGAAGGCAGTGGTGGGAAAAATGTGAATGCTTCTAGTAGGTCTACTTGAGAGGAAAAAACACAATAAATATGAAACAGGTGACTCATAAATTCAACTTTCTTAGTGGCTTAAAAAAAAATTTGGGCGGGGGCTGTCCCGGCCTGTGGCTCATTTGGGAAAGTGTGGTGCTGATAACACCAAGGCCACAGGTTTGGATCCCTATATAGGGATGGCCGGTTAGCTCACTTGGGAGAGCGTGGTGCTGACAACACCAAGTCAAGGGTTAAGTTCCCCTTACTGGTCATCTTTTTTTAAATTTTTAAATTTTTTAAATTGTAGTTAAAAAAGTAACAAAATTTGCCATCTTAACCATCTCTAAGTGTGCTATTCAGTGGCACTAAGTGCATCACATTGATCAGTAGCCATCACCACCATCCATCTCCAAAGCTTTCTCATCCTCCCAAACTGAAACTCTGTCTCCATTAAACAACTCCTGGGCTTGTTGGTTACAGCACCACCTTGTAACACCAAGGTCAAGGGTTTGGTTCCCTGTGCTGGCCATCTCTCCTTCCCCAGCCCCTGGCAACCATCATTGTTTCTGTCTCCAAATTTGATGACTTTAGGGACCTCATATACGTGGAATCACAGTGAATTAGTCCATTTCTGTTGCTTATAACAAATACTCGGAACTGGGTACTTTATAAAGAAACAATATTTGTTGCTTACAGTTTCAGGCTAGGAAGTCCAGAGTCCAGGGAACACATCTGGTGAAGGCCTTCTTTGGTGGTAGCTTTATAGCAGCAGGGTGTCACAAGGCAAGAATGGTGGAGCAGAGGGAACTCCTCATGAGCTTTCCTTTTAAAGCCCTCAGAACCACACCCGCGACCACCATTAAACCATCAAATTAATCACCTCTTCAAGACTCCACCTTTCAGTTATACTAGGATTTCCTACCCTCAATAGTACAATAGGGATTAAGCTTCAGTGAGTTTGAGGGGGACATTCAATCCACTGCATTCTGCTCCTGATCCCCCAAAAACTCATGTCCTTTTCACATACAAATACATTTCATCCAAGTCTTAACTTGTTTGAACTCAAAAGTCCAAAGTCCTATCTGTGAAATCAGAAGTTATCTACTTCCAAGATACAATGGTGGGACAAACACAGGATACATATTCCTGTTTGAAAAGGGAGAAATAGGCCAAAAGAAAGGGGTAACAGGGGCCGGCCCGGTGGCGCACTGGATAAGTGCGCCGCTTGGGAAGTGCAGCGGCGCTCCCGCCCGAGGGTTTGGATCCCACGTACAGACCGGTTCCCGCTCACTGGCTGAGCGAGGCGCGGGAGCAGCACCGAGGGTTGCGATCCCGTTGCCAGTCCCCGTTCCGGTACGGGGGCAACACTGAGGGTTGCGATCCGTTGCCGGACACGGAAAAAGATAAAAGACAAAAAAAAAAAAAAAAAAAAAAAGGGGTAACAGATCCTAAGAGGAAGTCTGAAACCCAGCAGGGTAGGCATCATATCTCAAAATTGGCTAATCATATACCTTGACTCTGCTTGATGTCCTTTGCATGCTGGTGTGAGAGCTGAGTCCTCAGGTCCTCAGACAGCTCCACTCCTATGGCTTTCCTGGTCTTAGGCCGTATTTCAGCCTCTCGCAGGCTGGTATTGCACACTGGTAGCTCTACAATTCTGTGGTCTCCACAGTGGTCCTTCTCTCACAGCTCCACTAGGCATGGCCTTGGCGGGGTTTTTCTGCTGAAACTCCGATCCCACATTTCCTCTTGGCATTGCTCTAGCAAAAGTTCTGTGTGGTGACCCCACCCCTGCAGCAGATCTGTTCCTGGGTCCCCAGGCTTTTCCAACATCCTTTGAAATCGCTCTGAAGCCTCCACAGCTCTGGCATCCTGTGAACCTGCAAACTTAATACCACGTGGATGCTACCAAGGCTACTGGCTTATATATTCTAAAGCTGCAGGTCTAGCCACACCTAAGGCCAATTTAACCACAGCTGGAGCAGTGAAAGCAGCCAGGGTGCTGGTGTGGGGACCAGCAGCCCGAGGTGGCCCTGGGCAGAGAGCCCATGAAGGGCACCTCTGACCTGTTCCCCAAGACCATTCTGTCTCCCTAGGCCTCTGGCCCTTTAGTGGAATATGCAGCCTTAAAGATTTCTGAAATGTCTTCAAGGTCTTTTTCGCCTTCTCTTGATAATCCCTTCCTTTACTAATCTCTGTACTAATCTCTTTAGCAAATGGTTGCTGGGTTGCACCATTGCATTTTTCTCCTGCTTATGCTCCCTGCTTCTCTACCACATGGCCAGGCTGCAAATTTTCCAAATCTTTATGCTCTGCTTCTCTTTTAATTACATTCTGGCTTTATGTCATATATTTTCTGCCATAACTCAGCATAGGCTGTTGCAAGTAGCCATGCAGCTTCCTGAATGTTTTGCTGCTTAGAAATTTCTTACACCAGGGGCGGCCCAGTGGCGCACTCGGTAGAGTGCGGCGCTTGGGAGCGCAGCGGCGCTCCCACCGAGGGTTCAGATCCCATATAGAGACCAGTCCGCTCACTGGTTGAGCGCAGGGCGGGCGCGACACCGAGGGTTGCGATCCCGTTACCGGTCACGAAAAAAGACAAAAAAAGGAAAAAAAAAAAAAAAAGAAATTTCTTACACCAAATACTCAGGTTTAGGACCTTTAAGTTCCATTTTCCATAAAACTTGGGCATGAACAGAATGCAGCCAAGTTCTTTGCCAATTCATAGCAAGGATGGTATTTGCTCCAGTTTCCAGTAAACTCCTTATTTCTATATGAGATCTTCTTAGAGTGGTCTTTACAGTCCCTATTTCTGAGAGCATTCTGGTCACCACCATTTAAAGAGTCTCTAAGAAGTTCCAAACTTTCCCTCAGTTTTTTTTCTTCTGAGTCCTCCAAACTCCTCCAATCTTTGCCCAATACCCAGTTCAAAGCCACATCCTCATTTTCAAGTATTTGTTAAAAGCAATGCCCTACTTCTGGTACCAATTTTCTGTATTAGTCCATGCAGTGGATTGGATGTCCCCCAAACTCATTGAGGCTTGTTTCCTACTGTGACAGTGGTAAGAGGGTGGGAAATCCTATTGTGGTAATTGAAAGGTGGGGCCGTGAAGAAGTTATTAGATTATGAGGACTGTGCCCTCATGGATGGATTGATCCATTCACTGAGTAATAAGTTGATAGATTAGTGGTGGTCATGGGCTTGGTTCTGTTGGCTTTAAAAGGAGCCAACTGAGGGCTGGCCCATGGCTTACTTGGAAGAGTGTGGTGCTGATAACACCAAGGCCATGAGTTTGGATTCCTATATAGGGATGGCCGGTTAGCTCACTTGAGAGAGCGTGGTGCTGACAACACCAAGTCAGGTGTTAAGATCCCTTTACTGGTCATCTTTTAGAAATAAATAAATAAATAAAATGAAGGGAGCCAGCTGAGAAGATTAGCTCATTTTGCTCTACCATTCTACCGTGTGGGACCCCTGTGTTACTGCTAAGGAAGATCCACACCAGATGTCTCCCCTGGACTTTGGACTTCCCAGCCTCTGAATTTTTTTAAGCAATAAATTTTATTTTCTTACAAATTACCCAGTTTCAGGTATTTATGTTATAAGCATCAGAAACAGATTAATATGCACAGTATTTGTCCTTTTGTGTCTGACTTATTTAGCATAATGTCCTCAAGGTTCATGCAAGTTGTAGCAAGTGTCAGAATTTCCTTCCTTTTTTAAGGCTATTCCATTGTATATATAGACCACATTTTGTTTATCCATTTGTCTGTCTATGACACGGGTTGCTTCCATCTCTTGGCTATTCTTGAACAGTTCTGCTGTGAATGTGGGTATGCAAATATCTCTTCAAGGCCCACTGTCAATCCTTTGGGGATATACCCAGAAGTGGAATTGCTGGATCACGTGGTGATTCTATGTTTAATTTTTTGAGGAACTACCATACTGTTTTCCACCTAGCAATTTTGTTTTTTAGTTACATATGATATAACGTCATAAAACATCTGGAAATAGAGGGAAGATCACCGAGAAAGGCTGTGGTGCCATCTCCCTGCTGTGATCACTTCTCAGTGTCATCATAGTGGCTGTTCATGTTTGCAAGCATCATCCTTCTCTCACTAACATGGGCTCAGACCCCTCCTTCTTGTCCTGGGAGGCAGAGGATCTGGTTCCTGATACTCTCTGCCTGGCGCAGTCACTCGCCATGTAGAGACCCCGGCTTGCTGGGCCCATAAGGGCACCTCACCTGTTGGCCCCAGCTGTTCCTGCTGTAGGTGCAGTGGCCTAGCCCTGTCCCCCAGTGGGTTAGAAACCTACTGATGAATACAAAATTAGAGGGCTGCAACATCTGAACTGTCTCAAAGTAAAATTGTTTATAAGCACCTGGATGTTCATTATTATTTGCACGAACTGATATCTTAAATGTTGGCTGTTCTTCGTGAATATATAATATTTTTGTCCTGCCTCTTCACTTCCTATGTCTAAGACAATTTTCTGTGTTGCTCTCTGGTCTCCTTGTTATTACTGGGTGAAGCTCGGCTGTGGTCCCAGCCCCAGAGGCAGCTGCCTGTGAGCACTGCGCAGGGAGCTGGTCACCAGATACTGTCCTTCTCAAGTAAAACCTAAGCTTATTTTGTTTTCACTATTAAAAATAGGCATCAGTGGATGTCCTGTGTGTGTCATGTGGTAATCTCTTTAGGTGTTTCTTGAGGATAAGTTCCCTAAGGTGGGGCCCTGGGCCGAGGGGCCGGCATTGTGTTGGCCCTGAAGCACACTGCTCAGCTGTTTTTCGAGGGTCTGTGTTGTGGCGTGCATGTAAGAGGTTCAAAGGGTTTGGGGACCAACAGGAGAAAATCTGTGACTGTGAGAGGCAGGAGGACACAAGGTTTGTTGGGCAGCACTTGGACAAGTTCACATGTCAGGGGATGTCCCTCATAGTGCAAGTTCAGCAGAGGGGTGTGGGGCTCCCTTCCAGCAGGGGAGGAAGGCCACTGATGCCCCCTCTCCCCCAGGAGGGACTACGTGTCTGGTGACATTGACCATCAGTGTCTGGGTTGGAGAGCCCTGAAGGGCAGCATGGCTTGGGCCTTCTCACAACAGAGCCCTGTCAGAGAGGTTTTGCCAGCTACTTAAAGCGGGCGGTCTCTAAATGGCTACAGATGTGCTTTTTGGGCTACTTTTTAAAGAATTGGATGTGTAAAGATTTTGCTTCTCAGCTAACAGTTCTTAGCCTGCTGTGAAGAAATACCAGTGAACCAGCCATGTGTATGCATCTACCAGAACATCGTGTGGCACACTTTAAAGTATATTTTTACTTGCCAGTTATGCCTTAAAAAGCTGGGAGAAGGGCCAGCCCGGTGGCGCACTGGTGACTGCGCCGCTTGGGAGCGCGGTGGCGCTCCCGCCGAGGGTTCGGATCCCACATACAGACCGGTTCCCGCTCACTGGCTGAGTGAGGTGTGGGAACAACACCGAGGGTTGCGATCCCGTTGCCGGTCCCGGTCCGGTACGGGCGCGACACTGAGGGTTGCGATCCGTTGCCGGACACGAAAAAAGACAAAAAGGAAAAAAAAAAAAAGCTGGGAGAAAATTTTAAATAATAATAAAAAATTTTTAAAAGGCCGCCCAGCGGTACATACACAGGCTTTTCCACGGAACGTTCTTCGTTCAGTACTGTGGGGAACGAAGATCTGCCAGCAGGGCTGGCCCTCGTTCCCTGTCACCTCCTGGAACGCGGGAGGGCTTGGTCTTTTCCTCAGTGAGGTGCCCGAGTGCTGTCTGCCAGAGGCCATTGCTGATTTATTTGATAGGTGATTACCCCAGAGACACACTCAGGATGAGCTGCTCAGCCCATTTAATGCTGGACATACTTTTCTGCTCTCATTTTGGGTTATATAGTCTTTCCTTCCATAATTGATGTGAAGTTTACTAAAAAATTTAGTAACCTTTTAAGACAAGTATGGCACATGGCATGGTTTCCTCCTGAATTTAGAAGAGTTTTGTTTCATCTTCTTGTCAATTAGACTCTGACATGGGGAATACACATATGTATTTAACATGGTGTATGTCCCATGTGTACACAGCAGATGCTGTGGCATTACGAGGTCTTGTGTGGATGGGGGGGGAAGCCTGGGGGTGCTTTGCTTTGCAAAGACTGGGAGACATGTCACAGTCACCTTCAGATATGTAAGTGGCCTTTAGCACAGCAAAGCAGGGTTGAGTGGAAGTTATAAGGGTAGACTGAAGCCAGCATTCTAAAACAACTTTCCAAAATTATGTTTGTTCCACAGCAGAATGAGGACCTTGTGGGCCACAGGCAGCTGGTCCTGGAGTTGTTTGTGGGAGGTGGCATCTGGTGGGCACCCTGTGAATCCTATAAGACAAGAGGGTGGCAGTGCACAGAGGACCAGTAGCAGGAAGGGACTGGAGTGGAGCCAGCTGAGCCAGGTGGGGACAGCAGGGGACATGGGACCAATCGAGCCTGACAGGAGCATCAGGAACAGTCGGGGGCACCTGCATGATGCTCAGTGGGGGAGTGGCTGGAAGAGGGAGTTTACCATTCTGTTGCATCTGCATCTCGGTGAGGTCTGCAGTGGTGTAGACTGGACAGAGCCAGGGTCCATCAGGACGTGGTGGGGGGCTCTGCGGTGCTCCCTCTCCGCACTGGTGACTGCGCCGCTTGGGAGCGCGGTGGCGCTCCCGCCGAGGGTTCGGATCCCACATACAGACCNACACTGGTGACTGCGCCGCTTGGGAGCGCGGTGGCGCTCCCGCCGAGGGTTTGGATCCCACATACAGACCGG